CCTGAGCACCGCTGGGTGGGACCCCAAAAGCCAAAAAACAAACGACTCTGGTAACCTCCTCTGGTCCAGAGGCCAAGGCGGATGACCTGGGTTCGAAACTTTGGGTGGGGTGAGAGAAGAGTTTGGGGAGGAGGCAGAAGATGCCGTGACAGAACGGTCTGAGCTGGGGGCCCCGTCCACGCGGGGCGGGACCTCTCATGGCCAGGACACAGCACGCCCAGGCAAATGCCCTCTCAGGCCTCGGTGGGCTGCAGGGGAGACGGGGCACCGTAATCAGGGCACCCCCACGCCTCCAGCCCGGGTCCTTCCGGGGTGCAGTTCTCTGCTGGCTGGGTCTCCGCCTGGGTTCTATTTAAATCAGAGGAGGAAGAGGTGGGGGGAGGGGCAACCTCTCAACCATGATTCTGGGGACTTGGGGGACCCCGTGAGATGCGGAGATCCTTCCCTCTCGCCTTCTGCAGAATTAACCTTGGTCTCTTGTATTTTTTTTCCGGGGGGGCGGGCGGAAACCCGGCGGATGTGGGCCCCCATCTATGAGGCTTTGTTCTTTCAGGCTTGTCTCGGGAGAGCCTAGAATACCCCACAGCCAGGGGTCCCCAAGGACCGTCACCCACCCTGGCGGCCCCCACGGAGACCCCAGCGCTCAGCTGTGCTTGGCTGCCAAGGGCCGATGGGGTGATTCGTGGATGGGCTGATGGGAGTTCACAGACCTGTGGACCCCCAAGTCCTGGGCTGGCCCCCAACCCCATGGGGATTTTTTTTTTTCACCACAAGCACTGGGTCAGAGCGTCCGGATCTTAGCCAGGGGTGGCAACTCTCTGGACCCCCCTTGGGTCTCAGTTTACCCCAGAAAGGAAGTTATAGGCCCTGCTTGTGTGTGTGTGTGTGGGGGGTCCCCCTCCCTGCACCCTGCAAGGGGAGTCTTCTAACCTCTGACTCGGGTCCCAGTACTGGGGAAGTGAGAATTTGGTGGAATTGGGTGGGTTCATGAGAGCTACTGAGCGTGGTGGGGTGAGGGATGGACTGGGGGGTCCCTGGCGGGCAGGTGGACACACACACACACACACACACACATCACAGTGTCTAAACTCAGTCACTGTTCCACGGTGTCGGGGTCCCGGGTGGGCCTTCCCTGGCCGGCCACAGACGAGAGCGTGGCAGATGCATCAGCAGACAGTGACCAACAACCTTTGATCCCAACAGGCCGCACGCAGGGGAGGCGGCCGCCAGGGAGCAGGGACGGTCAGGGACTGGGACTCGGTGAGGGGACACTGCACCGGGGATTCAGCACAGGTTCCGGGGGCGAAGGCCGTGGCGGCACTGCAGGGGTGAGACAACGGAGGGCAGGAACGCAGTGAGCATGACGCAGGCCGCCTACTGGCAGGGGGACAGGCCGGAGCCAGGCCGAGCCCCAGTAGAGGGGCAGTGACCAAAAATGACAGGGGCCGGCGCCCCCTTTGGTACTGTCCTTTGCCTCCGAGGCAACGTCTCTGAAGCTCTCCCACCTCAAGGCCAATGTCGAGTGTCGTCAACGGGGCAGCACCACCCAGATGGCTCAGGAGCAGCTTCAGGGGGTCATCCAACCCAGAGCACAGACACACACAGACACACTCAGACACACACAGACACACACACAGACACACAGAGACAGACACACACAGACACACAGACACACAGAGACAGACACACAGAGACACACAGAGACACAGATACTCTTAGACACACTTAGACACACAGACACACAGACACACGCAGACACACACAGACACACACAGACACAGACACACAGAGACAGACACACAGACACACAGACACACATAGATACACAGACACACACAGATACACTTAGACACACTCAGACATACAGACACACACAGACACACACAGACACAGACACACAGAGACAGACACACAGAGACAGACACAGACACACACAGATACACAGACACACACAGACACACAGACACACACAGACACACAGAGACAGACACACACAGACACACAGAGACAGACACACACAGACACACAGAGACACAGATACTCTTAGACACACTTAGACACACAGACACACAGACACACACGCAGACACACACAGACACACACAGACACAGACACACAGAGACAGACACACAGACACACAGACACACATAGATACACAGACACACACAGATACACTTAGACACACTCAGACATACAGACACAGACACACATAGATACACAGACACACACAGATACACTTAGACACACTCAGACATACAGACACACACAGACACACACAGACACAGACACACAGAGACAGACACACAGAGACAGACACAGACACACACAGATACACAGACACACAGACACACAAACAGACACACACAGACACACAGAAACACAAACACACACAGACACACAAACAGACACACAGAGAGACACACAGACACACAGAGAGACACACAGACACACTTAGACACACAGACACAGAGACACACACAGATACACACACTTAGGCACGCAGACACAGAGACACACACAGACACACAGACACAGACACACAGAGACACACAGACACACTTAGACACACAGACACAGAGACACACGCAGATACACACACTTAGGCATGCAGACACAGAGACACACACAGACACACACAGACACACTCAGACACACACAGACACACACAGAGACACAGAGACACAGACACACTCAAACACACACAGACACTCAGACACACACAGACACACACAGGCACAGATGCGGACACACAGACACACTCAGACACACATGCAGACACACAGATACACAGACACACACAGCACAAGAAAAGCACACATACACACACCACAGTAACACCAGTAACAGGCGGTTCACAAAACACACCCACAATGTTCCCACCATGCAAACACAGCACTCTCTCCTCCCAGACATGGACACAGCCGCTCCAACACCCATGGACAGACCTACACCTAGAGACGGTGACTTGGACATGTGGGGAGGGAGGGAGAGAGAGAGAGAGAGAGAGAGAGAGAGAGAGAGAGAGAGAGAGAGAGAGAGAGAGTTTGGGGGGGGAGGGCGGCCACTAGACATACTAGACATGTACACAGTCATGTCACCTCTGGCTGACGCACCGGATGCATCCCACACACACACTCCTGAGAGCCTGAGAGCTCTGGCCAACGCCACGGGCACTCAGCGTCACACAAGCAAATCCCAGGCACACTGTGCAATGCGCCAGGACCCCTGGCAGTTCCCAAGACACGCGCCAGCAACCGCAGACACACAAGTTGCGGGGAGCAATGCCCCCTCCTTCCGGAACCCTAACATGCCCTCATGTCTCCAGGCACAGAGGAAAACTGAGTTTCCTTTTATACTTTTTGGGGCCATGCTCTGCAGTGCTCAGGGCTGACTTCTGGCTCTGTGCTCAGAGATGATTCCCTGTGGTCAGGCTCAAGGGACCATCTGAGATGCCGGGGACTGAACCAGAGTCAGCTGCGTGCAAGGCAAACGCCTTCCCTCTGTCCTGTCTCTCTGGTCCCTCTTCTTTATTTTGTTTTAGTCCTGGCGGTGCTCAGGGATCACTCCTGGTGGGCTTGAGGGACCCAGGGATCGAACCCAGGTCAGCCATGTGCAAGGCCAGTGCCCTACCCACTGTACTATGTATGACTCTGGCCCTAAACTGACTCTTTGGAGGTTAACCTGCTCCCTGGCTCTGTGATTTGTTCAGAAGCCAGAATGTTCCTGGCCTTGATCAGAGCTTCTGTCTAAGCTGCAAGGCCGGTGCACCCAGAAAGGGACCTGGTGTGTGTGTGTGTGTGTGTGTGTGTGTGTGTGTGTGTGTGTTTCCAGCACTGAAAGTTTTCACCTTCTCATTGTTTAAGTGATGCCTCAGGAAGGAATTCCCAGGGGCCACCTAGCCACCCTTAAATCCAGAATCAATTCCATCAGTCACTTCCCCCCCCACCCCAAATTGGACCAACATTCACTGGAAATTCTGGGAGAGCCCCCAGATCCCCAGAAGACAAGCAGGAAAGTTTGGGAGTGCAGGGTGATTTCAGAGCAAAACTCCCCCGTGGATAGAGCCAGACTCTGGACCCCCTCAAATGGGGTTCAGCCAGGTCAGCCACAACTAAGGACCGCCAACCTCCATACCTTCTAGAACCTTCTGCCTGCACAGAAGGCTCAGGGCCCAGAGAGACAGTGCAGGGGTGAAGGTGCTGGCCTTGCAGGCAGCCAACCCCAGGTTTTTTTTTTTGCTTTTTGGGTCACACCCGGCGATGTACAGGAGTTACTCCTGGTTCATGCACTCAGGAATGACTCCTGACGGTGCTCGGGGGACCATATGGGATGCTGGGAATCGAACCCAGGTTGGCTGCGTGCAAGGCAAACGCCCTCCCCGCTGTGCTATTGCTCCAGCCCCAGCCAACCCCAGTTTGATCGCCAGGTTTCCCCAAGCGTTGCCAAGTGCAGGCCTGGAGGCCCATGAGCACTGCTGAGGTGGGTCACAGCCCCCCTCCCTCCAGCCCCACAAGACCTAAACCAGCACCTCACCATTAGTCATTTGGGTGAGAATTGCCTGGAGTGAACCCCGGGGGTCTTGGGCACTGCTTGTGAGGCCCTACTCATCCCACCCAAAAGAGAGGAGACGTTTCCCCAGGGGTTGAGGACTGTGTCTCATTCATTGCTTGCACTCCCGACCTCCTGACCTCGTGGGGGTGAATGAATGACCCGCGTTTGGAGCCTTCGAGAACCACCAGCGCCCACCAAGTGGACTCAGCCACAGGGATCGCCGGAAGATCTCTGAGAAGACGCTGACGACCCCCGGCTCCCAGGGGAGCCAGGAGCCCACGATTCATTTCTCTCCAACAGTTTATTCCTTCTGGGGTCGCCAAGACTGCAAGCATCTTTGGGGTGGGAGGAAAGACCAATTTAGCAAGGGGGGTGGGCACTAAGGCGGGAAAAACGGCCAGAGAGGGAGGGTGGGGGATGGGGGGCGGGGGGTGGGGGGTGGGGTCAGATCAGCAGCTGCCTGGGAAGGTGGAAAGGTTCAAGGTAGGTGTGCCCGGGAGGTTGGAGCAGAAGTCCCAGCAGAAGGCGAAAATGCTGGACCAAGAGGCTGGTTCTCAGGAGCAGAGAAAGGGGGCGTGGCACACAGGGCGGGGCGGGGCTACGCGAGGGGGCGGGGCAGGCGAGGTCACGTGGGAGGGCGGGGAGAGGGGCGGGGTCGTGCGGGCGACGGGGGCGTGGCCACGCGAGCGGGCGGGACATGAGGGCGTGGCGAGCGCTGTGAGTGGTTGCGTGGGGCGGTGGGCGTGGCTTGGGCGGTCCCTGGGCCGCTCTAGCAGGCTCGCCGCTTCTCGCAAATCCAGCGGTCTCTCTCGTTGTCACACGGCGCGTCGTTCCACAGTCCCGTGGGGATCATCATGACACAGTCCTCGCGTCCCATGGAGTCATTGGGCTCCCCCCGGTTCCAGTGGCTGCAGGGGTGCGGCAGAAGAGGGTGGGCGCCTTGCAGGGGGCGAGCTGAGCCTGGGCCTGGCCTGGGGTGGTCCAGCTTTCAGCGTCTAGCCTGATTACGGTGGCTTTTTGTTTGTTTCCTTTGGCCTCTCTCAGCAGTGCTCGGGGCTGACTCCTGGCTCTGTGCTCAGGAATCACCCTGGCGGGGCTCGGGGAACTATATGGGGTGCCGGGCATCGAACTCGGGTCAGCCACGTGGAAGGCAAATGTGTACCCGCCGTCCTACCGCCTAGCTCCGGGTAGCCTGGTTATGGATTGGGTCTCACTTTATTTATTTTTTAATTAGTTTATTTATTGCATTTTCGGTCACACCCGGCAATGCACAGGGGTTACTCCTGGCTCTGCGCTCAGGAATTACCCCTGGCGGTGCTCAGGGGACCATATGGGATGCTGGGAACCGAACCCGGGCCGGCCACGTGCAAGGCAAATGCCCTCCCCGCTGTGCTAGTGCTCCAGCTCCAGATCTCACTTTAGATACCCTGAGCCGTCTGAGCTCAGCAACTACCAGGAACATAATTTCCTTTTATTTATTTCTTTAATTAGGAACGCAATTTCCTAACACCCCTTCCTCCTAAAAGGCAGTTCCTTGGGGCTGCAGCAGGGAGGGCGTTTTGCCTTGCATGCGGCCAACCCGGTCCCCCGAGCACGTCCAGGAGTAATTCCAGTAATTCCTGAGTGCAGAGCCAGGAGTAACCCCTGAGTGTCGCCGGGGTGTGACCCAAAAAGGAAAAAAAAAAAACCAAAAAAAGAGGAAGGGTATTCTTTTCCCCTCTGAAGTCTGCCCATCCCGACAGTACCTGAGATCTTGTCACATCTCCCCCCTGCTGGATCTTTTCCCCCCTCACCTGAAGGTGAGCTGGACCCCGTCCACCCACTGGTAGCTCTGGACCACGTGGCCCCTGCGCTGGGCTCTCAGGCCCAGCCAGTAACCGAAGTTGCCGTTGTTGCGGGTCAGGAAGATCTGGGCAGGAAGAGCAGTTGCATTGGGGCAGTGACACTGACATCGCTTCACAGTCCCCTCCCCACCCCCCCGCCCCCGGAACAGCCCCCCAGCCCCGGGCGCGCCCCCTGCCCTCTGCTCTGCACTGCGGGGCGCGCACCTGCTCCTCCAGGTCCTTAACGATCACCAAGTGCGCCCCCTGCTGGACGCAGTGCCGCAGTGCCGCCTCCCACTGCGCCGCTCGCTGGGAGAAAAAGTAGCAGGAGCCCTGGAAAGGCAACCAGGACGCGGGGCACGGCTGGCAGGAGCCTGGCAGGAGGCAGAAGCGGGAGGAGATACGGAAGTGGCTTGCTTGCACGCCCACTAAGGCGTGTGTGCACGTGGGGCCAGATCGCGGACTCCAAGGCCAGAGGGTAGCTCTGACCGCCCCCTGCACCCCCACCCCCACCCCCGCCCTGCCCCTTCTCACCATTCGCCTGTCGGACCCCCTCCACCGCCCGGAGCAGCTCCGTGCGGATGTTCTCGCGGTCCCTCCCGGCTTCCGCCAAACTCTGGGTCACTGCGAGGCCAAGACGGGGTGCAGAGGATGGCCGGGGTCAAGGTCCGGGGTAAGGGTCACGATAAGGGGAGGGTAAGTCCCTGACCCCGGTCACGGGACCAAGGCTGCTGGGGACCTCGGGGTTCAGGCTGGGGTTGGGGTCAGGAGTTGTCATCACGGTTCGGACTCCCGTGGCCAAAGCCAGGCCTCCCAGGGAAAAGGAACCAGGCGTTCCTGAGGAGTCCGACGTGACCGGACGGGCGTGATGAGGAATGGGGGTGGGGTGGGGACAGGCGGGGTGGGGGATGGCACCCCTACCCCGCTGGTTCAGCTCACTCAGGCCGCTCTCCTGCTCCATCAGCTTTCCCTGCGCCTTCTGGAGCTCGGCGTACGCCGTCTGGAGCTGCACCTGCATGCTCACACCTGCTCCAAGAGGGGACGACGGTGGGGGCGGAGTCGAAAAAGCATCCCCACTGGGCCCACCCTCAAGCCCCACCCGCACGTCTTGGGCCCGCCCACAACCCACTCACACCATTGAAGCCACCCACAAGCCCCACCCACAAAAACTTAGGCCCGCCCACAAGCCCCACCCACAGACAGTGGGCCCGCCCACAGGCCACACCCATAAACCTTGGGTCCACCACAGCCCCACCCACATCATTGGGCACACCCACAAGTCACACCCATCAGCCTTGAACTCGCCCATAGCCCCGTTCATAAACCTTGAACAGGGTTCACAGCCCCACCCACATCACTGGACCCACCCACAAAGCCCCACCCACAAATGTTGGGCCCTCCCACACTCCCATACGTCATTGGACACACCCATAAGCTCCACCCATAAGCCTTGGGCCCACCCACACCCCAACGTCATTGGACACACTCACAAGTTCCACCCATAAGCCTTGGGCCCGCCCACACCCCATAGTCATTGGACACACCCACAAGCTCCACCCACAAACCTTGGGCCCGCCCACACCCTCACGTCATTGGACACACTCACAAGCTCCACCCATAAACCTTGGGCCCGCCCACACCCTATCGTCATTGGACGCACCCACAAGCTCCACTCATAATCCTTGGGCCTGCCCACACCCCAACGTCATTGGACACACTCACAAGTTCCACCCATAAGCCTTGGGCCCGCCCACACCCTCACGTCATTGGACACACCCACAAGCTCCACCCATAAGCCTTGGGCCCGCCCACACCCCAATGTCATTGGACACACTCACAAGCTCCACCCACAAACCTTGGGCCCGCCCACACCCCAACGTCATTGGATACACCCACAAGCTCCACCCATAATCCTTGGGCCCGCCCACACCCTCACGTCATTGGACAGACCCACAAGCTCCACCCATAAGCCTTGGGCCCGCCCACACCCTCACGTCATTGGACAGACCCACAAGCTCCACCCATAAGCCTTGGGCCCGCCCACACCCTCACGTCATTCGGCAGACCCACAAGCTCCACCCATAAGCCTTGGGCCCGCCCACACCCTCACGTTATTGGCCACACCCACAAGCTCCACCCATAAACCTTGGGCCCGCCCACACCGCATACGTTTTGGACACACCCACAAGCTCCACAATTCCCACCCACAATTCCCGCCCACAATTCCCACCCACAATTCCCACTCAATCTCCAAGACTCACAGCTGCTATTGTAGGCTTTGACCTCCTTCTTCAAGTCATCCAGGAGCGCCGTCAGCTTGGAAGCTGGAAGGAGCCCCCCAAGCCCCCTCAACACATGCAGAGTCACCCACAGAAACACAAAGGAACCCTCCCCGCCCTTAGATCACACACCCAGGCGAAGTCCCCCTCCACCCGCTATCCGGACCCCAGGACGGACCCCTGAGACTCAGGCCTCACCCGCCCCCGCCCCCACCCCCTGTCCCCTTTACTGCGCACCATTTGTCACCTGCAGGTCTTGGCGGCTGAGCAGAGTCCCGCGCTCCGAGGAAGCTGCAGAGAGAAGGTCCCGCAGGCATGATGGCCAGGCCTGTCCTGAGTTGGGGTCTGCTTAAGAGGGGGGCGGGCAGACGGCGCGCACAAGACCTGCAAGCACACCCTCCGAGGGGAGACGGTCCCCCTGCATTCATGCCCCTCCGTGCACACATGTGCACGCGCACAGCCAGTGGAGACCAAATCTTTTTTTTTTTTTTTTTTGCTTTTTTGGGTCACACCCAGCGATGCTCAGGGGTTACTCCTGGTTCTGCACTCAGGAGTCACTCCTGGCGGTGCTCAGGGGACCCTATGGGATGCTGGGAATCGAACCCGGGTCGGCCGCGTGCAAGGCAAACGCCCTACCCGCCGTGCTGTCTCTCCAGCCCTCAGAGAGACCAAATCTTTGGACTCCTGTTCCCCCTCAGCTGGGTCTCCCACATAACTGGAGCACTGTGGTTTGGAGGGGGCATGCCTCCAGAGAGAGGGGACCCAGCCCTCTCCCCGATCCTCAGGAAGCCGCTCACCCCTGGAGGAGAGGATGGTCAGCACCAGGATCCACGCGATGGTGCTGGCCACCAAAACCAGGGCCAGGCCGAGCAGCCTCTGTCCCCAGCACCTGCAGGTACCTGGAGCAAAAAAGAAAGATCTGGGTCCTGTAACAGGAAGGCCTGGAATGCCGGACCCCAAGCTTGGGGCTTTTTTTTTGCTTTTGTAATTGTTTTGGGACCATCCCTGACAGTGACAGTGTTCTGTGCTTAGGGGCTACTCTTCGTTCTATGCTCAGGGTTACTCCTGATTCTGTGCTCAGCGGCTGTTTCTGCCTTTGTGCTCAGGGGCTACTCTTGGTGTTTGGGGGTCCACACAATGTTGAGGACCAATACCAGGGTTCCTTCACACAGCAGCGTGTGCTCCCAGCCTTAAGGCACTGAGGGTGAAGCTTTGGCAGCCTGGTTCCCCTCTTGAGTTCAGAGAGGTTTCGTGGCTTGCCTGTGGCCACACAGCCCTTAAGAGGCAGAGTTAGAATTTGAATCCAAGTTCAACTGGCTTGAGGGGTGAAGAGTATTTCCTGCACCCACACCTTAGACATTCTTTTTTTTGGGGGGGTCACACCTGGCAATGCACAGGGGTTACTCCTGGCTCTGCACTCAGGAATTATACCCTATGGGATGCTGGGAATCGAACCATGGTCGGCTGCATGCAAGGCAAACGCTCTACCTGCTTTGCTATCGCTCCAGCCCCCTAGACATCCTTTTATTTTATTTTATTTTTTGCTTTTGCTTTTTGGGTCACACCCGGCGATGCTCAGAGGTTACTCCTGGCTCATGCACTCAGGAATTATTCCTAGGGGCTGGAGAGATAGCACAGCGGGTAGGGCATTTGCCTTGCACGCGGCCGACCCGGGTTCGATTCCCGGCATCCCATATGGTCCCCTGAGCACCGCCAATAATGATTCCTGAGTGCATGAACCAGAAGTAACCCCTGTGCATTGCCAGGTGTGACCCAAAAAGCAAAAAAAAAAAAAAAAGGAATTATTCCTAACGGTGCTCAGGGGACCCTATGGGATGCTGGGAATCGAACCCGGGTCAGCCGCGTGCAAGGCAGACGCCCTCCCCGCTGTGCTATCGCTTCAGCCCCACCCCAGACATCCTTTTAGCATCTCCCCACATCAATCCCTGAGCTCTGGTCAGAGGGGCTCAAGAGGGGGCAGAAGAAGCTGCTCTTACCCGCATGGCGCTTCAGGAGCCCTTCGTTCCACTCTCTGTACTCCGTGGTGTCCATGGTGGCCAGCAGCGCCCGTTGTGGACAGAGACAGACAGGCAGCCCCGTGCCCCGCCCTTCACCCCGCTTCTCCCACACTCGCTTCCTTCCCATCTCTGTGCCGGGAACTCCTTGGCCGGTCAAACAGCAGCTTCTCTTCCGGGCCGGTAGGGATGGGAGCTGAGGTGAGGCCATGGGAGATTGGGTTGGAGGACGGTGAAGGTATCTGAGTATGAATTTGTGTATGTGTGATTAAAAATGCGTATTGGGGGCTGGAGAGATAGCACAGCTGGGAGTGTGTTTGCCTTGCACGCGGCCGACCCGGGTTCGATTCCCAGCATCCCATATGGTCCCCAGAGCACCGCCAGGAGTAATTCCTGAGTGCATGAACCAGGAGTAACACCTGTGCAACTCCGGGTGTGACCCAAAAAGAAAAAAAAAAAAACCCTATGGGTCGGGGCTGGAGCAATAGCACAGCGGGGAGGGCGTTTGCCTTGCACGCGGCCGACCCGGGTTCGATTCCCAGCATCCCATATGGTCCCCTGAGCACCGCCAGGAGTAATTCTTGAGTGCAGAGGCAGGAGTAACCCCTGTGCATCGCCGGGTGTGACCCAAAAAGCAAAAAAAAAAAAAAAGCAGAATCCCTAAGTATGCCTGCAGTGACAGACCGGTGTCAGGTGGTGCAGGGGCATGCCCCACTGTCTCTGGTAATAGAACTGTGGGGCTCTAACTGTGTCTTTTTGTTGCTTGGGGGTCACACCCGTTGATGCTCAGGGCTTACTCCTGGCTCTGCACTCAGAAATTACTCCTGGCAGTATTCAGGAGACCCTATGGGATGCCGGGGATCGAACCTGGGTTGGCCACGTACAAGGCAAACACCCTCCCCACTGGACTGTCGTTCCAGCTCTCTAACTGGCTCTTCCTGTTATTTTCTTGTTGGGGGGTGGGGGCAGTGTTTGGGCCACATCTCAGTGCCCAGGGCCTATTCCTGGCTCCGTGCTCAGGAGCGAACCCTGTCGGTGCCTCGGAGACAGCACGCGTGCAGGGTGGCAACCACTGCAGCCTCAGGGGAGCCAGGGCGAGTGTGTCCCACACTATTTCTCCAGCCCCCTAAAAGGGTCGTCGTGTGTTTTCAATTGGTTTGAGGGTCACACCCAGCAGAGCAGAGGACTCACTCCAGGTTCTGTGCTTAAGGATGTCAGGGATCGAACCCAGCTTGGCTGTGTGCAAGGTAGACACCCTCTTCCAGACCTCCCACCCTCCCTCCCCTGGGCACAATCGTCCTGGCCCCTTTAAATGGGTCTTTTTTTTTTTTGGTGGGGTCACACTCAGCGATGTGCAGGGGTTTCTCTTGACTCTGCTCCTGGCAGTGCTTGGGGGACCATTTGAGATGGTGGAACTGAACCCCAGTCAGCCATGTGAAAGCCAAATGCCCTCCCCGCTGTACTATCACTCTGGCCCTTAAATGGGTCTTTTTTTTTTTTTTCATTAGTGAAACACCATGTGGTACAGTTGTAGCCTTACAATTTTTTTGTGCCTGGGTTTCAGTTATACAGTGGATGAGTACCCATCCCTCCACCAGTGCCCATTCTCCACCTCCAGTGCTCCCAATATCCCTCCCACCCCCTATCCTCCCCATCCCACCCTGCCTCTGTGGCAGGGCATTCCCTTTTGTTCTCTCTCTCCTTTTGGGTGCTGTGGTCTGCAAAAGAGGCATTGAGTGGCCATCATGTTCGGTCTAGAGTCTACTTTCAGCATGCATCTCCCATCCTGGGAGGATCCTCCCAATTAAATGGGTCTTGGGGCCGGAGCGATAGCACAGCGGGTAGGGCGTTTGCCTTGCACGCGGCCGACCTGGGTTCGATCCCCGGCATCCCATATGGTCCCCCAAGCACTGCCAGGAGTAATTCCTGAGTGCAGAGCCAGGAATAACCCCTGAGCATCGCTGGGTGTGACCCAAAAAGCAAAAATAAATAAATAAATAAAATAAAATAAATGGGTCTTAAGCCAGCGAGTTTGAGGCGATCTGTTACATCCGCTGTCGGAAACTAGTGAAAAGCTTACTTTGAGGTCACCCAGAACAGTGGGGGCTGGAGAGATACTCCAGTGGACAGGGCACTTGCCTGGCATGCATCCGGCCCGAGTTCGGCTTCTGGAACCCCATAGGGTCCCCGTGACCTCTACCAGGAGTGGTCCCTGAGCACAGAGCCAGGAGTCAGCCCTGAACACAGCCAGCTGTGGTCCCCAAACAAAATAAAAACAGCAACCAAATAGCACAGACTTCACCCCTCAACTTCCCAGCCCCTCCCCCAGTCCTCCGTCTAGGAAAACAGCCCCTCCTTGGCTGCTTCCTGTTTTCCCAGTTATTTGCTTCGCTTTCAGCAGTTTTCGCTCCTCTGTGGTGACCGCCCCCTTCCAGAACCCTGAGCCACAGTGCAGAGGGGTGGCTGTTTGCCTTGCGAGCGGTCGACGCGGGGTCGATGCCCAGCATCCCATAGTGTCCCCTGAGTCCCACCAGGAATGATCCCCAAACACCACCCAGTGAAGCCCCCCCATCCTCCTTGTCGTCATAAAAGGACAAGGGAGGGACTGGAGTGATAGCACAGCGGGTAGGGTGTTTGCCTCGCACGCAGCCGACCCGGGTTCGATTCCCAGCATCCCATAGGGTCCCCTGAGCACTGCTCGGAGTAACTCCTGAGTGCATGAGCCAGGAATAACCCCTGTGCATTGCCGGGTGTGAACCAAAAAGAAAAAAAAAGGACAAGGGACAGGAGTGGGGTGCAGGGAGATTATGTTCAGAGATCAGAGGTGCTTTGTAAGCACCAGGGCGGGAGTTTGAAGCACAATATACTGCAGACTCCCTGAGCACCACCAGCTGTGGCCCTGGAGGTCCCCAAGCACCCCAGGGTGTCCCTGGTGACCCCCAGCATTGTATCCGGACCCAGTTAGCCAAGAATTACCAGGAGTGCTTCCTGCCTCCCCTCCACCCGCAAAAACACTTAGGATGGGTGCGTTTCTTTTCTTCTTTTTTTTCCCCCATTTTTTTTTTTTGCTTTTTGGGTCACACCTAGCGATGCACAGGGGTTACTCCTGGCTCTGCACTCAGGAATTACTCCTGACGGTGCTCAGGGGAGCATATGGGATGTTGGGAATCGAACCCGGGTTGGCCGCGTGCAAGGCAAACGCCCTACCCGCTGTGCTATAACCCCAGCTCCAGTCTGGGGAATTTCTGACTCCAGTTCTTGACTCGAATTCATTCTATTTGAATGCTGACTTCAAAGATCTTTTCTTCCTTACTTTCTTTTTTGGTGTTTTTGTTTATTGGGGAGGGGGGCATCTGGTAGGACTCAGGACTGGCTCTGTGCTCAGGGATCACTCCTGGCGGGGTTCAGAGGGACCTTATGGGATGTGTGGGATCGGACTTGGGTCTGCCACTTGCAAAGCAAATACCCCACTGCTATTTTATCTCTCCAGCTCCGACTTTCAAAGATCTTGGCCCTCATGCTTTTTTTTTTTCCTTTTTGGGTCACATCCCTGGCAGGCTACCGAATGTCACCTGCCCACACGGCAGAGTCTGGCAAACTCCCCGTGGCGTCCCCAATATGCCAAATACCAGTAACAATGATGGGTCTCATTCTCCTAACCCTGAATGAGCTTTGAATTAATAAAAAAAAATTGTATTTTATTTGTACCATTGGAGATCTCCAAGCCTGCTCGGATCAGGGCTGAGCATCCTCCACCCAGATCCTCCATCTTCCAGTAGGCAGGGGTCACACCCACCGACTGGCCCCCTGGCGCCATGTAATCCCATCAACGGCCAAGACCCAGAGACTATAAAACCCAGCTCCCGGAAGTGGGGTTTTGACATAATGAGATAATAATGACATCTTATTATCTCATTCTTACTTTGGACAAACTGGCAGGCTCCTGAATGTAACCTGCCCACACGGCAGAGTCTGGCAAACTCCCCGTGGCGTACCCAATATGCCAAATACCAGTAATAGTGATGGGTCTCATTCTCCTAACCCTGAAGGAGCCTTGAATGTGGCACTTTTTAAAAAATTCTCAGGGCTAGGACGAAGGAGACGTTACTGGGGCCTGCTTGAGGCAATCGGCGAACAACAGGATGGTCGTGATCGTGATCGTGGGTCACATTCAGCGATGCACGGGATTACTCCTGGCTCATGCACTCAGGAACTATTCCTGGCGGTGCTCGGGGGACCATATGGGATGCTGGGAATTGATGCAGGGATGCTGTCACGTGCAAGGCAGACGCCCTACCCGCTGTGCTATCGCTCCAGCCCCGGCCCTCGTGCTTTCTTTTCCGAGGGACTTTCCTTAATGAACCCACGGAAATAATCACCGACTCTTGGGAGGTTGAGTCTCTGGTCCGTTTTTTGTTTTTTTTTTTTTCAGGACTAACCTGAGCTGGAACGAGAGTCCCGGGCCTGCGGCGCCCCCTGCCGGCCAGTCAGCGAATCGCCGCCGCAACCCTTTGGGCTTTAGGTGGGTTTGGGGAGGGTCGAGAAGAGTGGCCCGAGACCACCCATTCTGCGTCTCTCTGGGATCTGCAAGTGCCCTTCCTTTACCCTATTTATCTCCGTCCCTCGTCCCCACCCACTGCCCAGGGCTCTGCGTGCAGGCCGTAGCCCTTCCGATTCTCCTGGAGGGGCTGGGGGGACCCTGTGGGGGGCGGGGATCGAACCGGGTACAAGTCAAGCCCCCTGCCCGCTGTACTCTCTCTCCACTCCCTGTATCACTCACCAGGTTTTGTTCTGGGGCTACTCCAGCGATACTTAGGGGTTATTCCTGGCTCTCTTTCTGCTCCGGTGGTTATATGGGACGCTGGGGATCAAACCCGGGTGGGCGTGAAAAGCAAAACCCTATCCATTGCACTATTGCTCTGCCTTGCATGCAGCCGACCCAGGTTCGATTCCCAGCATTCCATATGGTCCCCTGAGCACCGCCAGGAATAACTCCTGAGTGCAGAGCTAGGAGGAACCCCTGTGCATCTCCAGGTGTGACCCAAAAAGAAAAAACAAACAAAAGAAAACCCCCTCTGGGT